AAGGTATTTCCACTGCAGACACAGAGCGAAGAAGATCAGATGGTCTCACACATTCCTCCTGTTATGACCTACAGAACACCTGCTCCCCCCTTTGGCATCCAAGCTGCGCCGTCAGCACCTCACAGCTTAAACAAACACTCCAGAATCTAAGTAGGACTAAGTAGGACTGCCCAACCTTCCGCTATCCCAGGCCTGGAGAAGAAGGAGCTATTCCAGGCTCTTCCTTACCTTTACATCAGTGCCATCTGTAGGCATGAACTCCTCATAGATGTACGAGCCTGTCTTCCTCACACTGCTCTCTGGGGAGTACACACTACTCCGGCTGCCAATCTGAAAGCACAGAATAAACACCTCAGGGAAGAGCACAGAGCTTCTTTTCTGAGATGGAAGAACAAAAAGCTTAAGTTTCATCCCATGTGTCGTGAATTAGTGGAACGCCTCTCAGAACCCTCAGCTATTACAGCACACTTATTTACGGAGGACAAAAGAGACTCCAAAATGCAGACAGTAGGTATGTGCTCTTCCAGGCTTTAACGAGGAGAAAAATTATTATAGACCATTAGGTTGACTCTGATCACTACGAGGATATGGAACAAACAACAGTGGATAAAGACCTAGAAAGTAAGGAGCCTAGCTAATGCGCAAATGAAAATAAATGATGACAGGTGATAATCAGACCAATTTAAATTCCTTCTAGGACAGTTGACTGATCTTATGGAGAGAGGATGAGGTTTTCATTTCAGGCTTTGGATACAACCTCAAATGGCGTGCCTGTATGTTAGCTAAGAAAGTAATCATTTTATGATTATTAATAGCAGATACGTAACTGATTGGAAAAAAAGATATATCACAGCTATTAAGTGTTTGCTGGCAAAGTAGAGAAAGTGAGTAAGGGCAGATTCCCTGTGGAATCTAGGAATAAACACTGCATCTGCAAGGTACACTTAGCTGAGAAGGGCAACAATTACTTTAGAGGACAGGGGTGTAAGTTTAAAAAAAAAAAATCATCTTGATAAACTGAGGAAGCGATCTGGAAAAAGCAGCATGCAATTCAATAAGGGACAGGGTTCTCCACGACTACCAGACAGGACGCAGGTCAAAGAGAGGATGGGGAAGGTGAAGTCAGCACTACCACTAAAATATGTCCTTCTGCAATTCCCAGGTAGATGGGGTTGAACTATAAGTTCTAAGAGGGTCTAGATTTCCCCAACACAAAACCTTCCTTTCCCCTTCACTCCCTCCTGAAGCCACATGGCTCTCGGAGCCACAGGTGTGTTGGTGCCAACACCAAAACTGGAATCCCCCTCCTCACCTTCCGAAAGAGCCGCTGGCTGCCCCCACCTGCTGACGTCGGGTAGTAAATATACACATTATGGTCTTCGGCACTGACTGGCTTCTCTACAAACGGCTTTGGGAAAACAGCTCCATTTACCTCCACGTGGTCCTCTCCTTCCACCAAGTTGCACTCTGAAGACAAAGCACAGCAGCAGCATGTTAGGAAAGGGTGAGACAGCTCTCGTGCAGAGCCAAAGCCCTTCAGTCCTGGCCACTCAGCCAGTTTTTCTGTTGGGACCTTTGTCCGCAAAAACCAACGGGCCTCTTCAAGCTGATTATCATACCTGTTCTCTGCAGAATATCTCAAATAGTACAGCATGTGAAAATGGCTTTCAGTAGAGCCTGGACACTGACCTTCTGGTCTATCAGGGTCTCGATTGAGCACAGCATAGCGGGGCAAGTCTATTCCCTCTTCTTGAAGGATCCGATACACTTCACGCCTGTAGAGGACAGAAACAGTGTCAGAACAGTCTAGAAGGTCCTCAGTACATGCCAAGGGAAAGGCTTCACTCCCACTGAGGAAGAATAAATCAAATGAACACAAAAAAGCTTCAAGACAGAGTGCAAACACTTCTCAGCACATGCTCTCTAGAGAAGACCTACAGGCTATGGGGCATGCCTCAGTCCCTACTCTGGACAGAGATGTCCCAGAGTAAATCCCTACCTGGCCTAAACATGGCTACTCATGTACTAGCACATGCCAAATCCACAGCAACACACCCAACACACACCACCTACCCACATCTACCTCTCGAAGGGTGCCCTGTCACACTAAGCTGCCCAACGCCCAGGCCAGGCAGATGCAGCAGAGCCTCTTTTCATCCGATGTCAGTGGGAAAACCACAATTCTTGCACTAGAGTTACCCGTTAGGCTGCCTGTCTGCACCCACAGGAACACTGCTCACAACCCAAAGACATGGCAGGAGGTTCGGGGTCTGGTATGAGCCCACCCCATAAGCAGCCAAAGCAGCCTGGCTATATGCACCGAAGTACGTGACTCTGGCTGACTTTACCAAGAGTTGGCTGACAAGCCCCTTGAGGTATCTGACCAACATAACCTCCTCAGAATCTGAGCTGGCCTTGCTCCCAATTTCTGCCCCAGAACGCCATCCCACTACTTGGCTCTCCTACTCAGAGACTAGTCTTTTTGTCTCAGTCGGGGCAGTCTCATTCTGTGAGACCTCTTCCATTTTCTGCTCCATCTCGCCAGCACAAGACATCTGCACCAGAAAACATGAAACATGCCAAGTCTCAATGGTTTTACCCCCAAATCTATTCCCCTCCATGTTTTGGAGAAACAACCCTTAAAAGCCACTGCTAAGGTCCCCTTCCTCCCATCTCACCCATTTGCTTGTGGCCAGAAAGACGAAGTTTGCACAGCACGCTGAGAAGACGAATCAGACAAAGCAAGCGGGAAGGGGCTTTAGTGGATCAGAGACACCCACCTGTCCTGGATATAATACTGCATATCAAGGTCATTAATCAGAAATGGCTTGCACAGCTTGGCATAAGCAACTGCTTTATCCAGGGGGAATCCTGAAATACAGGGATGGGGGGAAGAATGAGTGTAAGCTCCCCTACCCAGATCTCAAGTAGGCTAAGGTGTGCCACACACTTTTTACCTTTGGAGTGGAACGATATTAGGCAGTCACAAGAGGGCCAGTTCTCCACCGGTTCATTGAGAATAACATCTTCCCCCATAATCACCACTGTGATATACTCAAACTTGCACAGACGCTCCAGAATCTGCGTCATGGGCTTTGACTTGGACTTTTTGGTCATGGCACATATTCCAACCACAATCTGCCGTTCAGGTGGCTAAGGGAAGACAGAGACCGGTTAAGTGCAGGGTCAATCACTTCACTGAATTTAAATTGTAACAGTACAGAAATGCAGCAAGTAAGAATAAAGAAGGGGTTTTCTTCCAACCTTATGCACTCACAGCTCTTGCTAGGCTCAAACCCATACACGCTTTCACCTCCCACTAGAGTCCACCAGGAGACATCATTAAGGAGCAGCCCAAAACAACTGTTTCTTTGCCAGGTAGTATGTACCTCCTCCTTTTACTGGGCACTAATGCTAAGGTCAGAAACAAGTATCTGGCACCTGAACAAGCAGCAGGGACTGGAATCCCACATCATGTTCTCTGGCCGATAACTCACCAAGACAGTTGGTGGGCTTAGGCAGGCTCAGAGAAGAGCTGCAAATGTTTTATAGCAAAAAAGTCCAGGAGCTCAGTCTGTTTGTCTTATCTGAGAGAAAGTGAAGGGGAGATAACAACAGTAAGTAGCTACGAGTAGAAGAGAAACAGTACCAAGTGCTCTTCCATACATCTGACAAAGGTACACTGAGATCCAGTGGGATATGGGATAAAGTTGAGTGAGTCAAGAGAGAAGGTGTGTATTCAAACAGCGTTGGTAACCCTAACGCAGGAACAGGCTAAGGTCTGTGGTGGACTTTCCATCACCGTCTAGAAACCCCAGACTGGATGTTTTCCTGACAGATTAATTCTGGCCCAAGCAAGACCAACTGCAGCGAGATCACCTGAAGTGATAAACACGGAACTGCAGGTTACCCAGCACAAACAATTGTGGCTTCAAACTGCAAGCTGAGACTTTACAAGTTACTGCACTGATTTGCAAAGCTATGGTTCCACAGCAAAAACAACATCTGGGAAGTGAAAGGGCTTCCAAATCCTTCACCACACCTAATAAATAGCTCTTCACTGAGCATCAAGGTAGACAATGCTGCGTGGGTTTGAAGGGAGCCCAGGTGGGCTCCCAGGTCAACAACCCACTTGCAATGGAGATTCAGGGTACAGCAGCAATGGAAACGACCACTGCACTGGCATATGGTCCCAGCAATTAGCACAGCCAGCAGCAATGTCTCCACAGCATCCAAGTTCCATATGCAGAACAGTAAATGTAACAATTAATACAACATTGAATAGGGCCAAAAGCAGTCAGAAGCTGGAGATCATTCTCCTTTCTGCATCCCGTTCCTGGAGGTTACAGAAAAGAGTAAATGCTTCATCTCTGCAGATACACCTTTGCCCTTTTCACAGTTCCCAGAGTTTTCCTCAAAATTTCCCTGGTGAAACAGAAAGGTTTACAGGAGTGTCAGGGCTAAGTTGCTAGGGCAAAGAAATCCGCTACTGTACCTGAAAAAGACCTGCAAGTGAAGAGGTTAGAATTTACCGCGGCACGAGGCACCGAGTGTGGCAGCACCACAATGCAACACATCCTGTCAGAATTGACCCTGCCCTTACCCACGGCTGTGACACACGTACCACGTCCCCTGAGGTCCCGACTGCCTGCGGCCTCAGCAGCCACCGCGCAAACCCTGGCTGAGACCCAGGAATTCTGCACAGATGCTCCAACCCAGAACGCCGGGACATCCTTACCGACTCCTCCTCTTCATCATCTTCAAAGAAATCGGTTTCGTCTGTCTTCATGTTTGATCCCAGAAAGTCTGTCTCATCATCCCTGGAACCGACAACAAATCTGGGAGCAGAGTTCTCTCCCTCACTGGAGGTCGTCAGGGACGACATTGCAGCTTCGGTGGCCAACCATCCCGCTCTGAAATCACAGCGTGCAAAAAGGGATAGAGAAGGTCAGACGCGGGGCGAGCCAGGGGCTGGCTGACACTACTGGAAGCAGGTGACGATGGGGCAGGCAGGGACTGACCTGGCACGAGTGAGCCCAGGGACTGCTGCCCAGCACAAAAGGAGGGAGCAGGATGAGACCCCCGGGGTGGGAGGGGATCTGGGATTCGGGACTGGTTTAGATCAGCAGCTCCACTGTGCAATTCACCCCTTTGCACCAAGTGGGAAAGGGGCAGTGTCACCGCTAGTGCTAAAATAATGTAAACCTTACAATGACGCATGCTCCAAACCGCTGTCTAAATCATGGAAGGGGACGGTGGATGCTCTCGCAGGCTCGTACACCCAAATACATCAACTGGGACTCCAGAAGTTAGGACGAAGCTTAGGACAGTGACAGTGACTTTCCAATTGCCAATTTTCATCCTTTCAGCTCAAGAAGACCTAGAGTAACAGAGAGACCAGTTTGAGAGGCGCACAAGTTGGCGAGGAGGAGGAAAAAGGAAGAAGTGACAACTCGTTGGCAGGGGAAGAGGACACAGCATCAGCAACAGTTGGGGTTGCAGGAGGTAGGGCTTCTGGGTTTGCAGTCTGGCTCTGATTTACCCTGTGACCATGGAGGCCGATTACTGGGATACAAGCTATGCTTTACAGATGCCAGGGAAAGAGCATGCCTTGCACTGTCACCTACAGCAGCAGCACTGTCTGCCGCAGAAGTGACAGCGTTTGAATACACGGCACGCATGACCTGTACACGCCAAGGACACAGCTGTTCACCTCTGACCATAGCTGTACACAGACAAATGTCAAGCGGTTGCCCTTTACCATGCTTTCCCCAACTACAAAGCAGCGAAAAGCAGTCCTCCCATGTAAGTAAGCGCAACCTTGAGAAGAGGACGTTGTGAACACCTCCTGTTATTAAGTACTTCCTAAAAATGGACACGAGACACTCTACCACTGCTTCTCATGCTCTCACATGATTTCCAGCACTCCCAGACTGAGAGTGACTGTATTTCCTCCTCTTTTGAGCATGCTTTCCCTTGCAGCCAGTGCACCGCAGGAGACTACACTGCCACATACCGCCATCAGTTCCCAGTCCTCTCCGGCAGCTCTTCCGCACGGAGCAGAGGCGGCAAACCCAGGGCCACTGGCCCACTGCCAGCACGGTTGCATGGTAGGTGAGAACCCCCTCGCCAGGAACCAAGGAGGGAGATCACCTTTATCCATTTGTGCAGGGTGGGAACAGGCAAAAGAAACAAACACAGAGCAATCCAGCTGTTTGTGAAATCCCGTCAGAAATAAGGCTAAAAATAAAGCATGCCTCCAGGCAGAAAGGCTGTCTGCGCTCCCAGGAAGGACAGGAGGTGTAACAGGTAAGCGCCCAGAGAAAGCGCTGGAGCAGAAACAGGGGACAATGTCACGGAGCCATGCTGCCAGGCACTGGTTCGACAGCAAGCCCATCAGTTATCACGCCGGATCTACTGGGGGAGCCGGCAGCAACACAACAGAAACCAGAGAGGTGACAGAGCAAGCCCAGACTTTGCACCTACCGTGCCAAGGACGATCTCCTCCACCTCACTCCCGGTCACGCTGGTCCCCGCCTGGGCACCGAGCGCCGTGCTGCCGGCTCCCACAGACCTTGAGGCACAGCATGCTCCCCGCACAGAAACGTGTCCGGTCAGCAGGAGTTAAAGCTGTAATTCACCATCAGTGCTCTCTGCTGGTGGGAGCAACAGCGCTGACAGACCAGGCTGTACAGGCATTTTACTGCGTGCCCCATATAGCCCTGCTATTTCTACATGAGGACAAGAGTGGGATTCCCAACATGCTCAGGAACCATTTTCATTCCTGTGCCCTGCTGCCTCAGCACGTCAGTGCAGAATGAGACCTCAGCAAGTACACTATCGGCTTGATGGCTGATGATTTAATGAAGTAAACCATGCAAGAAGAGGAGGAGGGTTGTTTTCTCCAATCCCTTCTTCTCCCCTCCCTCCTGGAAAAAACAGATCAAGCAGCAGGAAAACCTTTGCCCTAAGAACAAAGAAAGCAACGGGCTCTCTACATTTCTGCTCTTATTCCAGAAAATAAAGCCTCTGCCTTGCTCTGTAGCTATTTCTAGAGGCCATACTCGAACCAGGTAAAAACCTAGAGCCTCACTGAAGTCGACAGCCACTGATGCATCCGGCATCCCCTTGGTGTTAACAGGGAAAGCCTCATGATCTCATGTTGTTTCTGGTGTGGGGAAAGGGAGACCGTATAACCAAAACCTTTTCCAAGTTTCTTTTTAAAGTGGATCCCCCATCTGACTAGATTTACACCAAGAGAGACTACAGACTTGTGATGAAACAGAACTTTCAGCTAGAGGCATAACTAAGGCATCTAAAACCGAGACAGACTCTTGCTCTCAAAGGGAAACAGGCAAGTGCAACTCTATTCTGGTCCCAAAGGCTAATAACATGAGGTTTTGCCACCACAACTAAATCAGCTCTAGCACTGGGCTATCAGAGGGTTTGTGCTGGGAGGGTGGCAACTCCCTTTACAGACACCATACCAGCAAAGTTCCCATACAACGCTCAGCCCACACCACCACCTCACCATCACTTCTCTATCATAACATCGCCTAGAGCCGTGAGAGGAACTGACAGTGCGCGATGCTGATGGTTCTGCATCATTCTCATTGCTTCCTGAGCCAACTGGTCCTAGAGGTCACTCACTCAGACCAGTCTCCACTGGCTGAGAGTGCTACGGGTCTCACCTTTCACTAATCACAGCAAGAAAATTGAGTGTTGAGTTAATGCCGCTGGCTGTACTGTCCAAGAGCGACAAAAGCATTAACAGGTCTCTGGCACACACACAAAAAAGGTAAAGATGGTTCCAGCTTTGACTACGGAATATTCAGGCTTGCCAGTCCCACCACAGACACACGGGGAAGTACACACCAACCGCTACAGCTAAAGACGTTCCCACACTCTCTTCCAAGAAGAGCAGCTACGATCTGCTACGCAATTGTACCAAAGGTTCCCGTAATCGCCTAATGGCAATCAGAAGCTGCTGACACACAACCTGGAACTGAGACGTAGACCTTGCCTCTAAGTGTCCTGGGACTAATTCAGCTTCCCAGACTACCCTGTATTAGTGATAAGAAATGAGATAGTAGTCATTTTCCGGTTCCCCAGCAAATCATTCTGGCGCTGCTCAGATAAGGAGGTTCACAGGGTAAAGACACTTATTCTCTGTGCCCCACTTCTGAGGCACCAGAAAGTTAAGAGGGAAGAAGGTATGATGAGGCCTTGTGTTAACTTTGCAGTCAGAGTGGCATTAACCACTGAAAGAGTAGGTTTGGGTGTTGTTCTTTTTGTTTCATTGTGTTTTTTAAACACAGCCTCTAACACAGTTAGAGGTGCAGATGTGCGACTGGACAGCACAGTCCCTGCAGCGGAGGGCTGAAGGACAAGGCCTGCAGCAACCGAACAGAGCTCATCCCATCACCGGTGGCAGCAGGCGCAGGCAGTAGGAGAGGCAGCTCGAGGAGTGGAGACCAGGTCTGCGCTGCCCAGGGAGCCCGGGGAGCAGAGGGCACCACTGCAGGGAGACAGCCAGCGACGGCGACTGAGCTACAGAGCCACAGCCTGACCTGAGCCAGGTCAAGTATCTGTAACCTCTAAGAATACACATAGCTGGCAGTTTAAAATACTACTGCTGACAATGTCTTGTTGAACCACCTGAAACTGCTGTGGGCACTAAAAACAAACAAACAAGCAAAACCCTTGAAAGGGGGCTGCCTGGACCAGCGAAGTACCTTTGCACACATGACCAGTGAGGTACCTTTGCCCAAAGAGTTACCCCCATTGTCACAAGGGCTATTTGTATTAAGGTTAATTACACTTACATACAAAAGGTGAAAGCTGTACTCTTATCATAGACACTTAATTGCTTCGGAAGAAAAGGAACACCTATTCCAGAGTTAATAATTAAAAGCTATTTGGACTTGGTGTATCAAAGAAGGCTTTCCATGCTCAATTAACACAGAAGTTCAGCGAGTTCACAACCAGGAAGCAGAAGTCACACTCCTGCACGTACAGTCCTGCCTGCTCGAGCAGCACGTTCACCAACCCCAGACCTACCAATATCTTCCACCCAGACAGAGTCCGGCAACGGTGACACAGTCCATATCTCCTGCCCAGCAGCTCCTTCTGCTAGACACAATGCCCTTTGCAAATTTAGAAAAAAAAAAAAAAAAAAAAAAATCTTGGCTGTCACTTTAACATCTGAGCAAGTGTCGTATCGCTCACACAGCAACCGCAGCAGTATGGTAATTTCTTGTCTTAGGAGGCTGTTTTTAATGAGATTGTTTATAATGAGATTTATGAGATTGTTAAGTGTGAAACTTCACAGCATCAGAATTTCTCTGAGCCTGTAACTGTTAATGAAGGTTTATTAACGAACAGAAGTATAGAATAATACTTTCCAATGTTTTTAAAACAAGATTACGAGCAAGTTTAAAGATGCCCTGGATTTTACACTGGTAACTCCTGATGCTGGTCACTGCTTACCGGCAGGCCGCCT